TACCCGCGATAACACACAAATTGTAAGCTATGCTTCGCTCCAGACTACAGAATTATTATTTTTTTCTTATAACTGTTGCCCACTGTTGGGGGGGGGGGATGCTAAGCGTTTGAAGAAATGTGTTTATTATTACATTAACCGTTTATTAACCCATCTTGCTAACTTTAACTAGACAAGAAATTATGTAGGCCTACCAACTTCTCACACTCAACTTTTCAAAATTGTTTTTATGCAAACTGAAGGAGGAATAAAAAGAAGCTTTTATGGGACATATCCGACGGGTCACAAAACTTTTAGTGACGGTTCGCATATAATATGATAAGTCTAATTGATATAATGTTCAACTCATGTGATACCACGCAATTAATTGTAGTTTCTTACGATGGCACATCGCGTATTTCCGTATATTTAAAGAATAGGTTTGAATTAAAAGCTAATCTTACGTTTTAAAAAAATACTTCAAATCTGTTTGTAAAGCACATTTTTCTGCTGACATGGAATAAAGTTCTATTTAAAATCCGCGCATCATCTCATAATAGTGCACCGGCAACCTTCCTTTAATAGTGTGCCGTTCAGAATAAAGACTTATTAATTAAACAACCCTTGAAAACAAAGTTTTTCGGGTGAATCCTTTAGAAAATGTAATGCAAAGCAATCTGGGCTGGGGCTGAAAATTTAATAAAACATGCATACAAGGTACGCACTTAATAAGAATCGCAATATTAATATACTAATGACCCATCCGCTTTTACACCGCAGATTTATTTTACAAACTATTTCAGAAAAACAAGAGAAAACATTACGCACCAAACGCTCTTGCGGTAAATTATTTTTAAAAGAATCTCATTTAGCGCACTTATGGGGAATTTAAATTTATCCTCCGTTTAAAAAAAAAACAGGATAAAAACTATTTTTGAGGGTTGGGGTTGGGCTGAAAAGTTGAAAGAATGTTGTGTCATTAGCAACGAGTCGATATGTTCAGTTTCAGCTCGATAGCTTGACGGGAAGTGGGTCAATTAGTCGTCCAAAGATGTTTCCCGCCAGCCATCCACCCACCCCACACACAAAAGTCAAGTTAATATAAATGATTTTAAAAGGCGTACCCTTAACATAAATTAACCTGAACGTCCCTCGAAGCGATTTAAACGTCATATTTCTTTACTCTCTTCATTTCACTGCTTTTAAATTGCATCTTTTCAGGTAAAGGGATTTTGAATAAGCTTTACAGGAACCACGCATAGGTCTGGAGAGTATGACTATGGTTCTTCATGTGTCCTGTCTGCTGAGGAAGGCTCTTGGCCGAAACTTTATTCTGTTATTGTCCTGTCTTTCTGCTTCAAGTTTCCACAAACCCTCTTCTACCATTTCCTTCAGTTAGAATAAGAACGTTGTTTGAAAAAAAAAAAGACCAGACACACCTGATGATCACTTTAAAAAATGTGTCTACAAATTCATTTATAAGAAAAGTAAAATACATAAAAATAATTAAAGGATTTATCTACGTCACGTGTGTATAGAACATTGAACATTTTTAATAACATATTCAATACGAAGTGGACGCTAACTGAAATAATGAACTGCACGCTGTGATGTATCGATGATCTGAGAGGTAATGTGTATGGTCAATGGACCCTACTGTGGCCGTCCTGAGAGGTAATGTATATGCTCAATGGAACCTACTGTAGCAGTCCTGAGAGGTAATGTATATGGTCAATGGAACCTACTGTGGCAGTCCTGAGAGGTAATGTATATGCTCAATGGAACCTACTGTGGCCGTCCTGAGAGGTAATGTATATGCTCAATGGAACCTACTGTGGCAGTCCTGAGAGGTAATGTATATGCTCAGTGGAACCTACTGTGGCCATCCTGAGAGGTAATTATATTATGGTCAATGGAGCCTACTGTGGCCGTCCTGAGAGGTAATGTATATGGTCAATGGACCCTACTGTGGCAGTCCTGAGAGGTAATGTATATGGTCAATGGAACCTACTGTGGCAGTCCTGAGAGGTAATGTATATGCTCAGTGGAACCTACTGTGGCCATCCTGAGAGGTAATTATATTATGGTCAATGGAGCCTACTGTGGCAGTCCTGAGAGGTAATGTATATGGTCAATGGACCCTACTGTGGCAGTCCTGAGAGGTAATGTATATGGTCAATGGAACCTACTGTGGCAGTCCTGAGAGGTAATGTATATGCTCAATGGAACTTACTGTGGCCGTCCTGAGAGGTAATGAATATGGTCAATGGAACCTACTGTGGCAGTCCTGAGAGGTAATGTATATGCTCAGTGGAACCTACTGTGGCCATCCTGAGAGGTAATTATATTATGGTCAATGGAGCCTACTGTGGCCGTCCTGAGAGGTAATGTATATGGTCAATGGAACCTACTGTGGCAGTCCTGAGAGGTAATGTATATGGTCAATGGAACCTACTGTGGCCGTCCTGAGAGGTAATGTATATGCTCAATGGAACCTACTGTGGCAGTCCTGAGAGGTAATGTATATGCTCAATGGAACCTACTGTGGCCGTCCTGAGAGGTAATGTATATGCTCAATGGAACCTACTGTGGCCGTCCTGAGAGGTAATGTATATGGTCAATGGAACCTACTGTGGCAGTCCTGAGAGGTAATGTATATGGTCAATGGAACCTACTGTGGCCGTCCTGAGAGGTAATGTATATGCTCAATGGAACCTACTGTGGCAGTCCTGAGAGGTAATGTATATGCTCAATGGAACCTACTGTGGCCGTCCTGAGAGGTAATGTATATGGTCAATGGAACCTACTGTGGCAGTCCTGAGAGGTAATGTATATGCTCAATGGAACCTACTGTGGCCGTCCTGAGAGGTAATGTATATGGTCAATGGAACCTACTGTGGCCGTCCTGAGAGGTAATGTATATGGTCAATGGAACCTACTGTGGCCGTCCTGAGAGGTAATGTATATGGTCAATGGAACCTACTGTGGCCGTCCTGAGAGGTAATGTATATGGTCAATGGAACCTACTGTGGCCGTCCTGAGAGGTAATGTATATGGTCAATGGAACCTACTGTGGCCGTCCTGAGAGGTAATGTATATGGTCAATGGAACCTACTGTGGCCGTCCTGAGAGGTAATGTATATGGTCAATGGAACCTACTGTGGCCGTCCTGAGAGGTAATGTATATGGTCAATGGAACCTACTGTGGCCGTCCTGAGAGGTAATGTATATGGTCAATGGAACCTACTGTGGCCGTCCTGAGAGGTAATGTATATGGTCAATGGAACCTACTGTGGCCGTCCTGAGAGGTAATGTATATGGTCAATGGAACCTACTGTGGCCGTCCTGAGAGGTAATGTATATGGTCAATGGAACCTACTGTGGCCGTCCTGAGAGGTAATGTATATGGTCAATGGAACCTACTGTGGCCGTCCTGAGAGGTAATGTATATGGTCAATGGAACCTACTGTGGCCGTCCTGAGAGGTAATGTATATGGTCAATGGAACCTACTGTGGCCGTCCTGAGAGGTAATGTATATGGTCAATGGAACCTACTGTGGCCGTCCTGAGAGGTAATGTATATGGTCAATGGAACCTACTGTGGCAGTCCTGAGAGGTAATGTATATGGTCAATGGAACCTACTGTGGCCGTCCTGAGAGGTAATGTATATGGTCAATGGAACCTACTGTGGCCGTCCTGAGAGGTAATGTATATGGTCAGTGGAACCTACTGTGGCCGTCCTGAGAGGTAATGAATATGGTCAATGGAACCTACTGTGGCCGTCCTGAGCACCGAATATAAACAGAAATACGCTTAACACAAACGTGAACATCTGTTCAGTTTAAGAACAGACACGTGTATCACATGACAACGTGTAAGAGTGTCACATGACGACGTCTAAGTGTGTCACATGACAACGTCTAAGTGTGTGACATGACAACCTCTAACGTCTGTCACATGACAACCTCTAAGGTGTGTCACATGACAAAGTCTAGCATGTGTCACATGACAACGTATAAGTGTGTCACATGACAACGTCTAAGTGTGTCACATGACAACGTCTAAGTGTGTCCCATGACAACGTCTAAGTGTGCAATATGACAACGTCTAAGTGTGCAATATGACAACGTATAAGAGTGCTACATGACAACGTCTAAGTGTGTCACATGACAACGTCTTAGTGTCACATGACAACGTCTAAGTGTGCAATATGACAACGTATAAGAGTGCTACATCACAACGTCTAAGTGTGTCACATGACAACCTCTAACATGTGTCACATGACAACCTCTAACGTGTGTCCCATGACAACGTCTACGTGTGCATCATAAGAATGTGCGTGTGCTGTATCACGAACATGGTCACGTGACCTTTTCGGTAGGATAAGCTCTACGGAAATCAGCGAAGGTTGTGTGCACTTCCGTATTCGTCCGTCTATGCGTGTCTTACTCAAACAGCTGCTACGTGACCAATGACAAACACAGTATTTAACTCTCCGTGGACCTCCCCCACACTCCCCCCCCCAAAAAAAAAACAAAAAAAACCCCACTTTTTCCATAAACATTACGGCAAGTGAAGGTAAACTCTCCTCTCCCGTTTCATTGTTGCAGTGTTCAAATATTTGATTAGAGTCACCGCCGCCAAACGTTCTGTTTCATTGGTACGCTTGACATCCAAGTGCAATATTATAATGACATATTTTCCAAAATCAGTAAAGATCTCCTGCAGACGCTGTTAGGAAGAACGTGCAAAAAAAAAAAGGGCTGTCTGGACCGACGAAATAAACCCGCTACACTTTGCTTTCGGCCATATACATCTGAGAAGTCGACAAGATTCTGTACGGTGTTCCCAACTTGTAAACGGTCGACCCCAGCTCTATGGATGGCCTGAAAAATCTCGGCAGGCTGACGGACATTTTCCTGGAGATCTTCCGCAGCCGCCGCTCGAATTTCTCGGTGTTGGAGTAGTTCCTGACGTGGAGCTCCTTGAGCTTCCCGCTCCAGCGGCGCGGGGTCGTGGTCAGCATGAGCGTGTACACCTGGCGGTATTCGTGACGACCGATGGCGAAGACGGGGGCGTTGACCAGAGAGTTCCCGAACTGCAGCACCCGGGACGCAACGTGGAGCACCTCCACGGTTTCCTGGTTGAACATCTCGTAGTACTTGATCGGCGCCAGGATGATGTTGGGCAACCAGAGGAGGATGAACAGAAACATCAGGCAGGACGTGATCTTGATGGAGCTCACCCGGCTCTCAAACTGTGCGATCTGGGGCGTCGACATGGAGGCGTACTGCTCCCTGAAGAGCTGCACCTGCTTGTAGGAGATCCAGATGATTTGACTGTAGATGACGGCGCACGTAATGATGCAGGCCAACTTGCTCATCAACACCAGAAAGACGTAGGCGGGCGGGAGCGTCTTGAAAAAATTACAGCGGAGGGCGAGCTCCACCTCTTTGTAGCTGTACTGGTTCCAACCCATCATGGGCAGGAGGGAGAACAGCGCCATGCTCCCCCACATGCTGAAGATGGAGGTCAGCACCGTCTGCGTTGTAACTATTGAGTTGTAGCTGAGGGGCCTCATCACGGCCAGGTACCTGTCGACGGCGATGCTGAAGAGACTCCACAGCGAGCCGCCCCCGGCGAACTCTATGGAGGCGAACCACAAAAGGCAGGCGAATCTGTTGCCGAAGATGTACCTCTGGGTCCTGTGGGTGTAGGCAAGGACAAACATCGGCATGGCAAAGCCTCCGATCAGCAGGTCCGACACGCACAGGTTCACGATGAGGTAGTTGTTGACGGTGTGGAAGCCCGGGTAGAGCACGATGCCCCAGATGACGAGGATGTTGGTGCCGACGACGATCGGGATGTACGCCATGGCGATGATGGCGAACACGTCGTAGGCGACCAGGACCTCGCCTTCGTCGAAATACGAGGCGAGCACGTCATCCCGTCGTTGTACCGTGGAGGTGGTCGTCGTGATATTCAACTCGCCTGTCATTTTGTTTACGCTAACTACGCTGTGGTTCATGGTGCAGATGTCGATACTCAAGTCTGTGTCTTTGGATTGGTTAATGTCTTTAATCCATTCGATGCTCTCTTATCAAAACGTCATGGGTGCTATGATCTCCATGGTATTTCGTATTGATTTTCTATGACGTCTTTCGGTTGGTTTTTAAATCGTTTTTTATTGACTTCAAATAATTTGGTATATGCTTGTAGATCTATATGAATCGAACTAACTTCAACTGGAGGCTGTTCTGTTCAACATGATCGAAGGGGGCATTTACTCGCAAACCACTTATGGGGATTTATATGGAAGGTCAACACTTACACCTAAACCGGGTGATACCATTCGTCGGCTTATCTTGATAAGTTTGACTTTCTGCTTTAAAAAAACGTCATCAGTAGATTTGTCGAGTTTTCGTACTCTGTCCACTTCAACTGCCCAGTTTTCGTAATCTGTCCACTTCAACTGCCCAGTTTTCGTAATCTGTCCACTTCAACTGCCCAGTTTTCGTAATCTGTCTACTTCAACTGCCCTCGAAATATTCTTGGTGTTTTCTCAGTGCCTAGGAATACAAAATGAACAGAAAATATTACACAAGAGATGATCAAGGTGATGACAAAGGTGATTATTCAAGGGACAGGCCTGACTTACTCAGCTGAACATTAGCTTATCAAAGTGACCCTCTCTAAACTGGCAAATAATTAGCGTAACAAGAAATGTTAAGGCTTTAAAAAAAGACAGAACAATGAAGTGGATGTATCGGCTAAACGCCTTTTTCAGCAGACAATAAAAAACAAGAACCACACAAAATATATTTGAAATTTAATGTAATTTTAGCGTTACAAGATGACAATTTAGCTCTCCCAGTCTTTTGTTTAGTATTGTCTGCCATGCTGTAGTGGGCTTGAACCCCTCATATAGTTGATCTGTGCTGGGGTAAACTTGAATGTCAATCTCGTGCTACGCTTATCATCAAAGTTTGAAGATGTTATACCTCTTTCGCTACCACCTTTCAAATGGATGTTTGTTTAATATGTCACCACATTTGACATGGATGTTTGTTTCATATGTCACCACCTTTCACATGGACGTTTGTTTCATATTCTCAAAAGTTGTTTTTCTTCATTCGAGCCTGATCACCCTTGTAAAGTTTTTTTGTACAAAGACGTTAGCAGGAAGGTTTATGAAGCACGGAGGCTGTAGTTTCACAATTGATACATTTTTTAAGAACCCGATGGAGTTATATTTTTAGTAGCCCATCTTTGGAAATGAACAACACCGCTCCATCTTCAGTTTCTCTAGCGATTGTGGTTGAATTCTAGTAAAATTGTATTTGAGTTGATCCATTAAAAATCTTAAGAATAGCAATGTCCTTCGACAGGCTAATTCCTCATTGATTAAAAAAATACTTTATTAAGTGACAGTGTGGGGAAAAGTAACCAATTAAACTAGGTACCCAGGTATGTGGAAGCTTGAATCGAAAGACAGGACAATGCGATCAGTAGAGCCTCCCTCATCGTCCAGTCTTTCGATTAAATCTTCCACATACCATTTTCCACTATTCCCTTCAAACAACTTTAACTCAATCCTTCATTTAATATCCAATTAAACAAGAAATTTAGAGTACAAGTCATTTGCTTGATCGGCTTCTGATTTCTTCATACATTTTACTATTCGGAGAAAAATTTACCTATTTTACCTTCGAAGGAACTAGCTGTGTGTGCACTAAGTATAAACAATAATAAGGATTAATAATTAATAAACTATAAACATAACTCTGTTTATTCCCATAATTAAGTTAACGTCCAATGTCGATAACTATAACTTAATGCCGTCAAAAGTAACAGAAATCCTACAATAACAATTCAGTTTACTTACAAATTTGAGGGGCGATGTCTCGACAACTCAAAAAACAAACCTAGAAATATAATATTAACCAATTTGTCCTCGCTTGACAGAGGAAGTATACACTTGTCGCCATATTTGTTTTTTAAAGTGTGAATTGCTTGTCTTATCGTCTTTAAAACAATACATTTTTTGACGAGGGTCAAAGGTTGTGGAGTGCCAAACAGAATCGCACTAACATGTACTATCCTTTGACTGTGTGCGTGTTTTTGCCGTGCAAACCACCGAATGCGTTGTAATGGAAGACAATAAATAGTGAAACAATATATATTTTTAGGCTTGAAAGGAAAAGACAGGACCCTAAATCACGTTTCGGCTAGACGCCTTCTTCAGCAGACAACACAAAACAAGAAACAACAGATAATTATCAATTAAAAATCAAAACTTATGTGTCCGAACATCTCAATAAAGTTAAAAGTAGTAGTAGAAGATTCCATCGTTCTCTATTTTCGAGACGGGAGTC